AATAGTAGATTACGCATCGGAACTGCCTGGGATACAAATGTCATGCGTGTATCTAAACTCTTCAGCCAATAAGGGCAAAGGTGTGTCGTCACAGTTTGTGCAGCCGGGTGAGAGGTCGCAATGCATCTAACCGTAATGCATTGCGTCAGGATCAGAATGCGTTGCTTTAAGCCAGCGCTGTAAGCAAGTCGAACGCACCCAATGACTGGACTGGGGAAACAAACTGAAACACGGACTTAATACAGAGGACTAATGACGACAACCAGAAACAGCTGATCACATGGGGATCCCACACGGAGTCAAGGAGGGGGCGTGGCACACGGAAGGAGCGGACAATCGGGGCAGGACAGGGGTAATGTTGGGATAAGAACTTTATCGTTTTGGAAGCCATTAAGAAAAAAAATGCTCTTCTTGTCCGAGAACCGAGGTACCACTGTAGATGTTTTGTTTGCTGTGATATATATTGCACAAACACACACATACTGTATATATACTGTGCATGTGTGTGTGTGTGTATTTATATATAGTATATGCATACACATATATATAAATGTACCCGGAGGAAAATGGGTGTAAATGTAAGGACCAATTAAAGATTAGCTTTGCCCCTCTCAGCGAAAGTGTGAAGACAGAATTTAGCTGTTTCACACTCTTGCAGAAAGGCCTCTCTTTGTGCCCCTTTCAGAGGGGGAAAAGGCACTATTGTAAAGTCTGAACATCTCTGCCATGTAACGCTGCACGTCAGCTCTGCTTTTCCTGAGGTAGTTGATAGGGTCATGGGGTTACCTTTCGGGAAGGTCAGACACTGCAGATGGGACAGCCGATGGGTGAAAAAGTCATTAGCTATTTAGAGACGGCATCACATTGGAGTCGTCTACACTGTGGGCTTCGGGAGGGTGCCGGGGTGGATTTGACCGCCCGAGCAGAGAGGCTGCCACCTGAGCGGGGCGCTTCACTGCCTCTCTCTGTCTCTCTCTTCTCCCAGTTCAACCAGACCGGCCGCGGAAGCATCTGCAGCCAGGCCATCATGCTCATCACGGATGGCGCCGTCGACACATACGACTCTGTGTTTGAGAAGTACAACTGGCCCGACAGGAAGGTGAGACCCCTGCCCCCCCCGACTGCCCCTCCCTTTCGCTGGCAGCAGCCATGATGTTGGGGGGGGGGGGAACTACACTACCACGACCTTCACCAGGGGGCGCCCTCTCCTCCGCTGTGATACAGCATGCCGCCGACGCCCCGCCTTCTGCTGCGCCCCTCCCCTCTCCCCTTAGCTTTATTCCTTCCTGCTCAGTTCTGCCCTCGCACCCAGAGCTTGTCACATTTGGCGTGGTGGAGCCCCTCTGATTAATGGCGCCGAGGCCCCCGCGGGGCCGTCCCTCCCAGCTGTCACGCCGTTGCCGCCCTTCTGACCGCCTCTGGCACGGCTCAGCCGCTCTGACGTCGGTGACAGGATGAGGGAGGATTGCAGTTACCGCTTAGCTCACCGCTATCGATTTCACGGGCAGCCAGGCGGACCTGTTGATGCTGCATTAAAAAGCAGCATGACTTTCACTTTCACCTTGCTGCTTTCTCCTTACTGTGTTTGCCTGCCTGCGCCGTGTCCCACACGCCCCCCCCCGCCCCCCCACGCCTGCGTGCATCCGTGTTTCTGTCATCCAGACGCACCCCTGTCATTCACCTACAGTACACCCTGGACAGCAGTCCGCATCTGCATGTGAGCATCTGTCCACATGGCAGACGCCCTGCTCCCCCCCCTACCTGCATGCGCTGTCCCCTCCGGCTTTTGGCCGGCCTTCCTTGTATCTCAGAGATGCACCGCTGAATCCCACTGCTGAATCCCGCCTCTGAATGCCGCCGCTGAATCCCGCCTCTGAATCCCGCCGCTGAATCGCGTCGCTGAATCCCGCCGCTGAATCCCGTCTCTGAATCCCGCCGCTGAATCCCGCCGCTGAATCCCGCCTCTGAATCCCGCCTCTGAATCCCGCCGCTGAATCCCGCCGCTGAATCCCGCCGCTGAATCCCGTCTCCTCCTGCCTCTCCTGCACGTTGATGTGATCTCATCTTTTCGCTGTGCTTTCCAGTTTCCCACTAGGAGCCCCCGCCAGCCCACAGCCATGCTGTCCAGTGTAGCACTTCTATCCCCTTGAATTATAAAGGAATTCTGAGTTTATCGATTCATTTATTTCTGAAGATCTGGTGTGCAATAGTCAAACAGTACTGTAGCTGACAGAGCTCCTGAGTGCGGACTTACTTAAAAAAACACTATTATGTTATATAGGCAGTACTTAGTCTCTGAAAACACAACTCCGGTTAAGAGGCACTTTCTGTTTAACGTGTAAAAGGCCCTGATTCTCTGCATGGGAATGAATTTTGTCATCTTGACTGAAGTATCTTTCAATTAAAAAATCCATCCATCCATCATCCGTTCGCTTTTCCTGGTCTGGGTCACAGGGTGAATTTAAAACTGCACACAGCAATGAAGTGAATTGTGGTAAATCTTTCTTGTCACTATAGAAGGGTATGTATATAAAAAGCCCCACTCCGAGTTAATAAATGAGATAAGGGGTGCCGTGTAGCTCGGCGTTACTGTGGCGATGAGCCTTCAGGTTGGCATAATGGTCTCTTCCCTTCTTATGTTTCCTGAGTAGAGCCACAGTGTAGCCAGTAGAATAGCAAAGTAACTCAAGGTGATGCTGGCTGTCCAGGCCTGGAAAATGAATTGCATTGTGTTGTGATGCAATTATAAGCAGCTTTTAAAGATTTGGGAGGCTGGGTTATTTTTGGTGTTCCAGTAGGAGATTGGTTCCCAAGGGCCTGCACCTTTAATGTGCATTAAATGCTTAAAGTCCTGAAAGTGGATTGAAAGGAGTGGGGGCACTGAGAGCCAGACACAAAGGGGAATCTAAGAGATTTCGATGTTCTTCATGAAAGGATTGCAAGCTGATGTCTGCCTGAGTCTCCTGTGATTGACCCCGCTTGCCGATCCTGTCCTGGATGGCAGCATGCAGGGCTGTGGTGCTGCAGGCTTGTGGGGCTGTTGGGCTGCAGGCTTTTGGGGCAGCAGGGCTGTGCATCAGACCAGACGGTGAATCCCAAGCCAGCCACTCGCAGCTTGAGGCAGCCGCAGGCTAACGGCGCCCATACCGCCGAATGCAGCTGATTGTGCTTGTGCCATTAGAGGCTGTTTTTTCCTCTATGAAATTATTGGGGATGAAAAGGTAGTCTGAACTCGTGGCGGGATTTCTGAGGCTGAGTATGCCCTCCAGCAGCATAGTAAAAGATTATTGTATTGCTTGTGGGGGGGGGGTTATGTTACATTTAAAAGGCAGCCCATGGCTAATAGAAGAACTCTATGTCTGTCATATTTCTTAATGTTTTACTTTAATGTGCTGTGCAGGCACCCCAGCTATCATGGACTGCTGCATGCACTAAATATTTCTTTTATTATTTTCTTTTTTCGAAGGGAAATCAGCATTGTGTCCAGTTTATCTTTAGATTATGATTTTAAATATATATTTATTATGACATTGACATAATGTCTCAGTGGAAAACAGAATGGGCTCACACCTCGCTGTGTGTGGGGTTTGACCCTATCCCTGGCCCTCCTGACAGTGTGTGGGGTTTGAGCCCACCTCTGGCCCTCCTCGCTGTGTGTGGGGTTTGACCCTATCCCTGGCCCTCCTGACAGTGTGTGGGGTTTGAGCCCACCTC